GTACCCCCCGTGAACATCCCAATCCCCACTAAAATAGGTTCTAAAAGGGTGCGGATTTATTTTGGGATGCTTTTTGTTTCTGTTTGTGTTTTTTTTGGGGGGGGATGTTGAAAACGATGCTGGGGATGTTGACGGGCTTGTGTAAAATGCGTCAATTTCGCGAGAAAATGCAGTAACATACGACATTTTACTGGCCCGGACGAAAAACAACCCCCCGCATGTCCGACCAACATCCCAAGCATCACCAACAAATCGTGGGTAACAAAATCAAAAAAGTAGCTGGCGGGTTGACGGGGTCAAAAATATGATGATTCAAAAAGAAGGGAATTTCAACCCCTGTTTTAAAAAAAAAAAAACAAAAAACGGAAAACAAGTAGCGGGGGGGTTGGGGGGGGCCCGCCCATGATGTTCGAAGAATTGATGATTCAACTAGGGGTGCAGTTAATTAAATCTCTCTAGAAAATCTAAAACGTAGCGGGGGGGTTGGGGGGGGCGGCAGCCCCCCTCCCCCATGATGTCGGAAGAAGTGATGCTTCAAGTAGGGGTGCAATGATTCAAGAAAGGGTGCGATAGAATTTAAAAGGCAGCGGGAGGGTTGGCGGGGGTGGCTTTTCGAAGAAGTACATACATACAAACATACATTGATTACACATAATACCTAAGATGTCCTATTTTGCAGCATTTTCTCGCGAAATTGGACGCTCGAAAAGTGATGATTGAACTAGGGGTGCAATTCAATCTCTGCAAGATAAATCCAAAAAGTAGCGGGGGGGAGGCGGCAGCCCCCCCCATGATGTTTGAAGAAGTGTTGATTCAAAAGGGGTGCAATTACTCTGCAAGCAATCTAAACAGTAGCGGGTGGGTTGCGGGGGGGCTTCCCCCCCTATGATGTTCGAAGAAGTGATGATTCAAACAGGGAGGAACTGGTGATGTTGATGATGCGGGAAGCCACATCCAAAAACCAATAAAAGGGTGCAACAGCCAAAAAGCCGGTGCAAAAAGCTAAAACCGCCAAAAAGCCGCATAAACCAGCGAAAAGCCGCAAAAGCCAAAATGCCACCTGCCAAAGAGGAACTGGGAATGCAGAGGATGCGAAAGGCAAAGCTGAGAAGCCAAAAAGCCAAGAAGCCAAGAAACCTAAAAGCCAAGAAGCCAAGAAGCCAAAAAGCCAAGAAGCCAAGAAGCCAACAAAAAACACAAAAAACAAAAACGGAAAAACAACCTAAAATAAATACCCCTCCCGTTCCAAAATGGGTGGTGCACCAACCCCAAAATGGTTCAATTGGTTTTGACAACCACAGCCATATCGCAAGGGTCTCTTCTCCGATCAGAGCCTGCCAACGGGCTGGTCGGTGGCGATTCCCAGAACAAGCCTCCCGTGGTGTGCAGGCAACAAAATACTCTTTCATTTGGAAAACCACCCAAAAAGGACAGAGAGTTCAAGGGTCCCCAACAATTGAAGGTCACCAACTTGTCCAGAAAATGAGAACTTTTGAGAACTCCTGACCCTGCTTGAGCAATCTTGCTTCAGCTTCACTTGATCGCGCCAAGGCCAGGACTATCGGCAGGTTGACAACTCACCATGCCTGGCATGCGCGAGCTGGTTGCTTGCTTCTGGTTGCCGTGTGACGCAACCAAAGAAAACGCGAAGCTCCTGTGACATGACTTCAAAACAGATCAAACAAAGTCTTGCCAACAGGCCCAAATGCCATGGCAACAAGCTCTCTGCCAAGTGAGAGCCCTGATTCCGGACATGTTTTGAAAGGGTCGATGCGCAGCCGTCTTTCCTGACCTGCGAACAGCAAGCTGCGCATCAGTCACATCATCTTGTGCAGCAGTAGTCGCAGTTCAGTGAAAAGTGTTTGGGACACTCGCCATTTTGAAAGCACCTTGCCTGATCTGCTGATAAAAATGTCGGAACCTAAGAATAAGAATGCCGGTACCCACTTGCCCGAAGGACGTGGATATAAAAGGTTGACCTTTTGGCACCTTTGCTAACAATTGACCAAGATGGGAAAACTACAAGGTCAAAAGGTCGACTCGCCTTAAGAATGCTGGTAAACGTGCCCAGGGCAGCACAGGCGCAAACAGGAGTTTGCTTCCCCCGCGGCCTCTTGACGATGGGCTAGCTGGTGGCGAAAGAGCAATGCGTGGGAGCAGACCTGAATCTGCGCCACTTATTCAGACAAGCCTTGAAGGCTCTGGTTTAAAACCAACTGGAGGCTGTGGGTCAAAAATAGGTGCCCAAAATGGAACCCTGGTAAATGGAAACATGGACTAAAATCTGTGGTCCCCTGGTGGTTTAATATTGACCCACACCCTATGGTTTTGGGGAAAGGACGGTGTTAGAGCGCCAACATGAAAACCAACTCCTGGGGTGTTACGTACCCAAATTTGCCACCGCCGTCGCCAGGTTCATAATTCACCAAAGAAAGGCCATCGATGGCAGCGATCATGGCTTCAGCCGCAACCAGGTGGAACCCGCTGAGAAATATGAGCTCCGAACCTTTTTTCTTTTCCAGTCATGCTTAGCATGCCTTGGCGGCGCTTCCTTTGCTAAAAACAAACCCTTACGAATAGCGCGAAAAAGCTGCCCAACATATATATCAAATATACATAAAATCAGAAACGCAAAACGCGCGCATTGCCAAATTAACTCTTTACCCTCTTTCCATGCTGTCGCTTGGTATTTATTAGCTGTGTTCAAGCTTGCTTTGTCATTGTTGGTCCACCTGAGCTTGTGCCACCCGTGAGTCACTCGATACGTTCAAACTGGTCTAACCAACATGTTTTCGTCATACTCACGGAGTTCCTCGCGCGTGGCGTATTGATGCTCGTCATGTTGAAGCAAAGAGCCAAACAGATCAGCTGAAATGCCAGTCCTTTGCAATGACTCTGTCTGCATCCAAGTCACGTCTAGCTCTATCAGAGCTGCACAAACAAGGCACGATTCAACCTCAGGAGCATGCAGCATGACAACGTCTGCCTCTTGAAAGCAGACAATGCATCACCGCGTGATATGCTGCAATGGAATAACAAGCAGCCATGAGAAGACTCACATTGGGATTGATTGAGGCGGGGTGTCGAAACTCCTTCTAACCTTCCCACATGGTTGGTGTTGTTTTGCTTTGATGTTACAGCCTTCCCGAAAGATGTCCAAATCTTTGGCACATAGCCAGGCTGGCTCTTGCGTCCAAGTAGCACTTCCGCGGAGAGCGACTTGCTCGCTCACCCACGGATGTCCAGGAGTAAAAATTCTTGAGCCAAAGGGTGAGTGAGGGGGCTCAATGCAAAACGCTTCTGTCGACCCTTGCGAAACTTAATATACACTAACCACAAAAGAAGTCAGCATATAAGCATCTTGGAGACAACTAACAAGCTTTCTCTGCCTGCCAACCAAAAGCCGCCGTCATTCCCCCAGCATGTTCCCTTCCAGCTAATCACCCTGCCAGCAATATATAATTGTGCTATTGGGTCAGGAAAAGCCCGTTTCCCGCTGCGAAGAGTCTTCACAATGCATGCAAGAGCTATGCAGGTAAATGGATCCAATCAGAAAGGGGGCTTCCTTTGGCACAAAGGCCCTTGCGAAGATTTGGTGACGGATGCCCTTGGGCAATGGAAGTGATGCAGCCCTTGTGTTTCAGCACCTGCTGCACGGTTTCGGGGTGAAGGACATATGAGTCACCTGGTATATGCTGAATTTTTCATGAGTGGCATGCTAGATGTTGCTTACTGTGTGATGTACAACGTTTGTTTGTCACATGATTCACGCTCTATGCCACAAATGCTGCGCAAGCTGTATGCCAATATGCGGCGCAAGCTGTATGGTGCAATGTGCTTACCACTGTATGGTGATGCATCAAAGTCTGGCAACCAAGGGAACTTGCTGGTGACCTACTGTAATGGTCACTGGGATCCACTGAGTATAAGACATGTCGGCAGCAAGAAACGGATCCCCCACATCCCCAATGGGTGCTTCGCTTAAAAGAACTCCAGCAGCTCTGCTATTGAGTTCCCCAGCTTGACAGAAGCTGCTTCAAGACGGAAAAGTGGGGACTGATTTATGCTGAGTTGCAACAGACATAAGTAAACATAATGGCGAATGCGCGTGCATCAAAATGGCAAAGCTGTCACTGCAGCGTTGCAGTGCTGAGGCGAACATGCTTCTGAAACTGATGTATGTTTGACTGTTGAATTTCGAACCCGTTCGGTTTCTGCCATACTGTTCCGTGTATTCCCATACTGTTCCTTTTATTCCCAAGATAGAAGCAACAACACAATGCTATTCGATCGTCCAACATGACCAAAACTGCTCCACCTTTCTTGTTGGTCCGAAATTGTTGACTTTTCGTGGGTGATCCGAATTGTTTGTCATGACGTTTTTGGTTCGATTACTTTAGCGTTTCAACTTTTCGTTTTTGCTTCCCAATCAACCTCTGACTAGTATAGTAAAGCTCCTAAGTACACTATTTCACAGCTACGGGGAAGTCTGGCAATAGTACTCTAAAAGGGGGAAAATACTACTTTTGAATCATTGTGGGTTGCTGTCAGATTCCAGGAAGTCTGGCAACACTACGGGATCCATGTCCAGTTTTTTCTGTTTGTTTGGGGGTATTCTCGGGAAGTCTAGTCACGTGTTCCAAAAGGTCCAAAATCCACATCGATTCAACTTGTTTTCCGGTGTTTCGTCTTGGTCCGGACAGGTCGAGTTTTGATCGTTTAACCCAGACTCGTTGATTTTTGGACTTGTCCCTTCTCGGTCAAGAGACCGCTGGAGTGGTCCAGTGGGCTGCGTCGCCTGACAAACTGTTCGACTTTTTGATTTGGGCTATCAAACTTGTGGCGACACTGCTGCGCCAGCCAGTCACCAATGGACCAACATGATTTGACAATTATCCTCCCAAGCTCAAACAGGTCAGTAGACGACCCGTTTGACTAAACGGGTTGCCCTATGATTCAAACTGGATGTGCCTTGCTCGCACTTTTCACTTCGCTGGCTTTCAGAACACCCGCCGCCGCTTCGTCTCGCGCTGGGGCCAAATAGCCTGAAGCGGAAGCATACATGCACATATGTGCATGCTCAGGCAAACTGGAGAGACATAGAGATATCCTGCTAGCATCAAGCTGCGTGTTTGCCGCACACTGAACCGCGACGGGGGCGGCACAGTGCCAAAGGAAGTGCAGGAGGAGTGTAAAATCCACAAGTCACACCATGTCCATGGCTAGAATGCAAGCAATCAGGCCTGTGGACGGTGAAACTCCGCATGTCAAGCGCCAAAAGCGTATGATAGCAAAGGAGTGTTTCGTGCGAGGTCTTGCAACTCTCTGAACCCCACCTGAAGTTCGAAGGACACCAGCGGCTCGGTAAAGCCGCCTTCATCATACCTTGAGAAAGCTGGCCAGGACGTCTCGCCGCAAAGGCGCGATCCAGGTGGAGTCTAGGCCCTTGGGCCAACCCCCTACTTCTTCGTTCTTTCAGAGCTGGAGACTCCTGGCCTTGTGGGCTGGTGGCGTTGGTCGCAACGGGTAACTGCCAAAATGGCAGGCGTTCATTTTGATGAACCCAAATATTCAGCGGCCCGAAATACAGGTTTCAATGCAGTAGCTTCAATGGTGGTGTTCTGAAGGTTGATCAAGAAATTAAATGTCAAGAAACCTATTTTTAGCTAGCCTCCAAGAAAGGTTGGTGTCACCATACTCAGCCCGGTTTTGATTTACCACCCTCAAAATGTGACATATCAATAATACACATGTGTATATATATATATATATGTAAACACATTCACAAAATACACCACTGACTTATCCTGCCTGTCAGTGTTTTTTTCCAGTATCTTTGACATGGGGCTTACCACTGGAAGAGATGAGGTCCTGAATGCATTGTGAAACATAGCATATCATTCCGTGATACCCCTCGGCGGGATTCATTCCCATCCCTATGATGGTGTCGATGTTGTGAGTGAACGTTCTCACTAAACAGTGTTCTCCCGCGGTCTGCTTGGTCAACCTGCAACGTTGCAGACAGTGATACATTCAGTCTCAATTGACGTAGCTGATGTAAATACATCATCCATAACCATCCCCATTGATACTCTGATAACCATCCCCCTTCTGCGAGGATGAGCTCCTTGGACCACTCGAACATGCGCAGCCACGCCTACGCCTCGATCCCTGGGCCTCAGAAAAGATCTCCTTCCCAAGGCCCAAACGAGCCATGCGTCACGAGCTCCACAAACGAGTCCACAGGTCAAGACCCGAAATACAAAGGCGGAATGCCGCAACGGGTTTTTGTGGCTGGGAGTGATTGTCCCCTAAGCTTCATCTTTGTCGGGTATTGATTGTGGCTCACTGAGGATGCCCCCAGCCACAGTTCGCTAAAACCACTCCCGCGGTCATTCGCCCCGCCTCGCGCGGATGGCGCTGCAGTGCTCTGCGAATCTCAGGCAGCGCCTAGCGGATGGGCGAGCGGACAACAGATCGGGGCATCGCCGGGTCGGCCAATTTTTTTTTCTCAACTCGGAACCTGGAAGCCAGGGATACCGCCGAACCTGACTTCAGATGGCGCCAGAAAACAACACAGCACACCATGTCTGATTTTCAAAGTTCGATCCGTGCGGATCTGGCCAATCTACTTTGATCTTGTGGCAGCGCCATATTGGCAAGGGCCCAATTGTGGAAAAGCCTACAGTACATCAAAGCACTGTTGACTGTATTGCGGACAGGGGAGTGAAGCTAGGCCATGCTTGAACCTACTAAATCCTCGGCAAAGCGGGCAGGGAAGGGAGCTCACACAGTTCTGCCCATCACAAGACCATATGCTTGTCCGTTCTGCATTTCGCCTATGCAGAACGGTCTCACTGAGGATTTTGGCTCCATGGAGCAATTTCTGCACCAGAGCCAGGCACCAGCGCGCTTCCAAGTGCTGGGATTCCGATCTTGAGCTTCCGATTGTGAGAAACACACTCAGCCAGTGGCAAACATGGCCCTTTGGCACTGGATTTGGAGGCATTAAAAAAAAAACTACCCAATCCGCTGTCAGTGTCACGGGCTAAGACTGGCACATCCGCAAAGGCGAGATGTCCAGCAGAATCGCCTCAAAGAGAGGAATCATCGATCTCATGTTGTATCTGAGAGGGAGGAAATGGGGTTAGGATTCACCCGCTCACTCCTCCGCTAAGATCCACACGTGGACCCCTTCTGCCACCCCCCTCCCCGCCCCGGAACTACATAGGTGCATGATATGTGTAGCTGAAAAAGCTCAAACCTATGTGGTGAGTGATCAAGTCCATTGTTTTTGGAATGAGCTTTAGTCAAAATCCTGTTCGGAAAGACATGCCTACTTACAGTCAACATTGCAAAACTAAAGCCGATGGTTGCCTTTGCAAATTCCATCTAGATTGAAACATACCATTTTTATATCCTATTTGGAAGGGAAATCACATTTAAGTTCCAACTAACACAGACATTCGATCTGAGCTATTCCCCTGTTAAGCTCTATGTATGGAAAGGATTACTCCCTTAAATTCTAGTTGAAGATAATAAACAGTCTAACGGAACTATTCCCTTCTTAAGTTCTATGTGTAGCCTAATTGGATTGCTTTTAACACCATGTGGAAAGGGATTCCTCGTTCAATTGTCATTGAATGTATAAATTCTAATTGAACTCTTTCTGATTAAATTCTGCTTAAATCTGATAAACAAGTAATCAGAATCCAATTGGCATAAGGGACCCGGCATAAGGGACCCTATAGTTAGCCTTGCAAGCAACTTTGTCGAGGAGCTTCACAAGCTATACAAGAAGTCTTATAAGGAGCTTTAAAATGAACCTTAAAAGTAGCTTTCACAAGCAGCTGTTTAACGAATTGCGCAAGGAGCCTTTGTAGGAGCCTTACAAGGAGCGTTGCACGCGGCTTACTGTATCAGGAGCCTTGAAGGGGGCTGTATATCACCTTGACTCAAGACTTTAAAGCCAGGTTTGTTGAAATTTTAATGCAACATCACAAATCCATCTCGACTCGGCTGTATCCAAGCTTATTCTAGTCATTTGTTAATCAACGTCCTTGATGGTGGTGAGGGTGAGCAGGAGAAGCAAAACGCAAAACTGAGTTGTGCTGGCTGTTTTGAAGAAGGACATCGTACAACTGAGGAATAGATGTGTGTGTGTGTGTGTTTGTGTGTCTTGAGTGTTGCGCTAATTAGGCAATCGTAGTAGTGCCTAAAAAAGCACACGCAGAGTTAACAAATCAACAGTGAATTATGTCTGCGCCCTATAAAATGTCCCTTCGGAAGGTCACACGTCTGTACTTTTGCTCAAAGATTGCTTAACCATGGTCGGAACAAAAAAACAAAGCCAAAAAACAAAAAACCGACTACTTGATTGGGTTTGTATAGTTGGGTATGAAAGACACAAATACAATGGTTGTTTTGTTTGTTTAGAGGGCAAACGGCAAACACGCCAACAAAAAAACACAAGATGTGTTTTTTTGTTAAGCTTGTCCAGCCAGAAAACACAAAAAAAAACAACCAAAACAAAACACACAAACTACCGAGAAAGGCCACAAAACAATGAACAACACATCTGAAGATAATCGTTGGCTCAGCCAAATCTTTTGCTTTTTTGGTTCTCTCGAGTTCGCTTGGTTTTTCGATTGTTTTGTTGGGTGTTTCAGTAATGACTTGACAAGCAAAGTACAAACAACTAAGAGTACTACCTTGTTGGTTTTGTGTAGGTACGAATGAAAAAAAAACAAAGCACAAAGAACAAGTGTATACGCATTTGTGTGTTTGATTAGTCTTAGTGTACAAACACGGAAAACAACGACAAACCACAACACTGTTGTTTAGCTTGTCCAGCCCAAAACAACGAAAGCAAGGAACACATCAATAACTCGAGAAAGCAACACACAACATAAATTGCAGTTTGGTTTGTTTGGTTCTCTCCAGACCTGTTGGCATTCTATTTTAAGGAGCAACACCAGCAACAAGCTGTGGTGTTTGGTTGTTTAGTTAGAAACTAAGAGCAACTACTTATGTCTCAGAAAAATCCGTCTGCTAAGAACTATGTGAAACAAAATGAGTGGGCACTTGTTTGACACTATGTACTTGCTTGACCAAAAGCATATTGGAAACTGCAGGGTGCCCCTGATTTTCCGGTTGGTACTTTGGGAGATCCTCCTAAATCAACAACACATGACCAATAATGTTGTCGGTGACACATGTCTGATGCAAGCGCCGGAACATGAATTCGGAAGCACTGGGAAAGTTATGTGTGTAGGAATTGAAGAGGCGTCTTCAAAAGCGAGGGTTCTTTGATGTCACTCGCCAAATGCCACATGGAAACTGAACACACTGCCTTGATTCTGGGTCAGCGCTCCAGCATCACTTCGTCATCCTCCACTTTCCACACTTTGCGACACCAGCCTCTTGTTTTGAATCAGCTTTCGGTTTTGATCAAATCAAAAGTGGAGGGTGATACGCCGAGGAGGGGTTGTAACCACGACTGGCAATGAAATCTAAAACCGCGCCAAAACTTTGGCACAACCCCGACAAAAAACAAAAACAAGCTCGACAGCGCAGTGTTTTTGGCCCAAACGTATTAGATCAGACGGCCTTTTGACTAGGAAACGACGGTTTCGGCACTGGATCTACTTTCTGTATCAAACAGCCGTCTAGGAAAAGGCGATCTGGGCACTGGGTGAGTCAAAGGGCCGTTCGAGGAAAAGGCGATTTGGGCACTGGATTGCTTTTTGAGTCAAACGGGCGTTTGACTAGGAAAAGGCGATTTGGGCACTAGATCTTTGCATTTTGAGCAGAGAGAACCTATGTGGATCTTTGCAATTGGGTCAAACGGCCGTTTGAACAGGAAAGGCGATTTGTAAAAACCTCAATAGACAGACCTGTGGTTGAAAAACTCAATATGGGAGAACAACTTCAATAGACAGACCTTTCGGAGAAAAACTCAATATGGGAGAAAAACTCAATAGACAGATCTGTGAGAGAAAAACCTGAATAGACGTGCCGGGATGAACAAAAAAAACATGTCAGTGTTGTATGTTGTCTGGTCGCTGTTCCATAGTATCTGCCATTGTTACCACTCGTGCTGGAGGGTGATTAGCCCAAGCCAGGATACAATTTACCTGTGCTGTCATTTGCTGTCATGCGCGTGAGTTTCTGACCTGATGGGTTTGTCCCAACATAGTAGATTCTCAACACGGGTGGCTTCCCCTTGGCTTTGGCTTTAAACAATTCCACAAAGTGCACCAACTCCAAAACAAGATAGGTGTCTCAAAACAGAGATCCCCCATAAACATGCTTGCTTTGCTGTGGTTTCTCTTGAAAAAAAAAACATCGCTTGGCTCAGGCTTCGGCCGTGGCCAGTATCTGCTCGAAGGTTTGGGCACTGAGCCTATCCGCGCGGATCTTGGACAGCTCTTGGGAGTTGTAAAGCATGGGAACAAGCAGTGTGTGGGGGGGATTCCCAAGCCTGAAATAAGAAATGGAATGATGGTGAGCTCGTGTTTAAGCCGTAAAAAACAACAGAAACAAGGGGGGATGCCTGCCGGTACGGAAGAACACAGCGATGTTGGCAAGTGTTCACTGCCCGGCGAAGCCCAATCCGTAACCCACCGGATCTATGACTCCAGACATCCACAATATCCAAATACAAAGAAAAACACACACGCAAGAACCAAGTGCAGCTTAATCGCCAAAATTGAGGAAATCTAGAAAGGCACGTGCCTGTCTTTCTCTTTCGAAGTCAAAAGTTCGCTTGTGAGGCATTCTGACAGTACCAGGCCGGCTCTGGCGCTTGCCCTTACAACAGCCGAAAGTGACTGACAGGTGAGAAAGGACGCTGCACCACTTGCAGCAATTGAGGTGAGACATGAACGCAGCGCCTCTGTGAACAGAGCGCTCCTTCATTGACGTAGAGTACATTTGCCACATGCGCTTTGCAAATAAGCTCAAAGCACAAGTGAGCAGAGGTGGTTCATCCCAAAAATATTAAAACACAAAAAACTCCAGCCGCTACAGCTGTTGGTATCTGATGATCAATGATAAGTGGTGTTTAGCGTTGTCTAAGCCGAACAAAGTATGCAAATCAGCCAACGCGCAAACTGCGCCAACTTACATCCCACATGGTGACCACCGAAACCGCGCCGACTTACATCCCACATGGTGGCCACCAAAACCGCGCTGACTTACATCCCACATGGTGGCCACCACTAACAACTATGTTCGATACATCCATTGAGAGAAGATGTTTGGCCTGCGACAAGATAGAACTACAAGTTGTCGCTTAAACAAGCATTTGAAACCGCGTGCACATGACTGAAATTCCAGCTTCAAGGCGGCCTTTGGTTCCGAGAGCAAACATTGACGGCCGTCTTAGTTCGCTCAGGCAAGCGCAGGCACAAGCTTGCTGTTAGGGGACTGAAGTCGCAAAACGCTGGCCAGGCCAGCGGATTGGTTTTGACCCACAGCAATGTTGGAGCCCGTTTGGATGACCCACCCAAGTTTTGCCGGTCCATGGGCAACTCTCTGTGAGCAAGATGGCCTCTCCCAAGTGGCTTCCATGAGCCATCGCACCATGTACCTCACTGGCAGCTTACATGGCTGTGGCTCAAAAAACAAGTACCAAAATAATGGAACCCTAGTAAGTGGAAACATGGACCAGAACCCCTCTTTTTAATCTTGAGCCACACCCACATCGCGCTAAGGTTCGGATTTTAGTCGAGCCGATTTGTTTGTCCTTCCCCTCACCTTTTTCCATATGTTTCCCTTAATCATATTTCACGGCGCTTAAGCTCACTCCAAGTTCTGGTCTGTGCACTTCCTCACGTCACCCCTGTCCGGAGTCTTACAAGTCTGACAGTTTCCTGCGACACAGTGATGGCCCTTGGCAAAGAGAGACAGTAACCCACTACAGTTCGGCTCTTGATTCCCTCATCACATTCCAGGAAAAGAAGAAGAAGCGGCAAGCTGATGGGCAATCAAAGTGCTCAAGCACTGGGGTCTCCGATATGGGCTTGCCTCCAAATGGCTCTCCAAAAACCTTCGACTTCCTGGCTTCCCTTTGAAACACGCCCAAACAAGTTGTGGAAAGGTGGACCCTTTTTTGGCTGATGTTAAAGGGGGCCGAAAAGGAAACAAGCCAGTTTTAGGGCTGTTGGGAGAACCACCCAAGCCTCGAACAAACACTACGGTCCCGGCTCAACGATGTACTTCTTGGCAAGGCCCAGGGCCGACAACAGCAACGGCAGCGGCGGGTTGTCCAGCTTGTTCACATGAACCTCGGCGAAGTCGACCATCGTCTTTTTCGCCAAGACTTCACCAACCGCCGCATATTCCCTGAGTTTCGTGGAGGATAGTATCCCCAAATCTGAAAAAGAATGGCTGAGAAGTTGAGGCAGAACAATGCAGCCCATAGGGTAAGAAAAAAAACGCTTGCATTCCTTGTTGCAGCCAAATTGGACAACACATGGAGCCTGCCCCCATCCATTGAGAGCAGATGAACTTTCAGATCCACTACATCCTGAAACAGGGGGACTTGGTGGATGGCAGGGTCCAAAATACAGCCCACAGATTGTTGGTGAGTCATGGCAGGTGTCATAGGCTTCTGCACGCTCCAGTCTAAGCTCAGCGCCGGGTTTTTGCCTGGACTCCCCCAAATGCCCACGCCTTTGTCCTCAGACACCAGGGCATGCGACATGAGCATGGTAAGCCACAGCACACTTGCAGGCCACGTTATACCCTTTCCAAGCAATCGGCAAGCTTGAGGGACGCCTACTTGACAATCGACCGTGCCAGGCTCTTCACATCTAGAAAACATCCATCTCAGCGGCCCAAATCAAACCTCTGCTTTGTGTCTAGTGCCATCATCCTAGTTGTCCTTGATGGAAACCTGCTGGGTTCTAGTGAGTGGGTACCAAGCCCATTTATGTTCAACAAAATCACCACCAACACAAAAACAACAACGCCAACAACTGGGCTGATGGGTACCACCTCCGCCAACCAACACGAACAAACTAAACAAACCCAACGAAAAAAACGCTCGGGTGCCGCACGTGTGTCCAGGATCCAGTCGGCGGTGCCGAAGCGGTACCGCCTTTCTGGCTAAAGTCCCACCTTAAGTCAAGGCACCGCACCGTCTTCTGTTGGAAGCGAGACGCGAGAAACCATCGCCTCACAAAACCCAATGATGAGTTGCAAATTGAGGTGGGTGTTTTTTTTTGGTCCAGCTCCCCAGAGCAAAAGGCGCACATGCGTCTTATTCAAATTGACAGAGAGTGGATTCCACTATGTCATTCCTTGGAAAAAAAAAAAAAAAAACATGGGGTGTCTGGACTTCAAGGTGCCTAAAAATCCACTCACCGAGTACTTTGTTCCTATAGGCGAGAGCTGGGCTGAAGCAGTTATCAAGGCCTCAATAAAAGTATGGCTTCACAACAGCGGCGCCAGAGTGAACTCAACAGCCTTGCACGGCATTCGAAACGTGCTGATTTGGCGCCAACTGCCCATCCGTATGGGTTCGTGGCGAGTTGATGGACCCAGATTGTCTCCTAAGTAGCCTGTGTATGTAGTATGTAGGCAAAACTGGGTGCAGCCTGCATTTTACAAGCTGCAGCATGAGCCGTAAATGTTCATGCACTAGGACGTCATGCTGTGACAATCAATGCGACAACCACTTGATCCAGTGGGCATTGCGTGCATTCAGCTGGGGTGCATCTCTGCACTCTCGTTTCGTTCATCCGCAGCCCTTTATCTAGAGCACAGCAAAAACGATCATGCTATTGCCACTCGCAAAGACACAGAAACATACCAACACGCAACACAACAATCAAACAAACTCACAAGCAAACAACCTAGCAACAAAACAACCAACTCGAAACACAAAGCCGTGACTTGATCGAACCAACGGCAACGTGACAATTGACTGCAAGTTCCCGGCCCAATCTTATGGTCGGGCACATCCTCTGTGACATCTTCGGCCGACCACAGCTGCTCGAGCCTAGGTGCACTGAGATCGCAGGCTAAGCGGTGGGATGCGATGGGTATTAACTTTGAGGTGCTCCCTGATAAATAGACAAACACTTCACAAAAAAACAAAAGACTGTACGCAAAACGACGTGTCCTTGTCTGTTTGCGGTATGGCGCTCGCCTTTCGGCATTTAGGTCATGCCCGAGGTCACACTTTGGTCCGATTGTTCCGATCTTGAAGGTTTGGGCAAATTGCCTCAGAGTCAGCTGCCAACTGTCAGATCACCCACACACAAATTTCCGAAGTAATTGTAGCAACATGCTCCAAGTTATGCCGACCCCCTTTCTGGCCAATGCGGGCATACCAGCCAACTGAGCAAAGGGTCACAACACGCGCCTATAAAGATTGCTCATCTTGGACAGCCGGAGACATGCCCCGTCAAACAGGACCTATGGCTCGATATGTTTCTCAGCTTCGTCTTGCAGGAGCCCATGCCGTGAATGCTCCTCCCTGATGCAAGTTTTAACTGGCGAATGACGCAATTGTCCTCCTCTTGCTGCACGTCACAGCTTCAGAGTCCCCAAATCGGCCAGCTAAGTGCTCAATAAGTATGCCAGTGCGCGAGCTGGGGCCCCCAGCAACATTCGTTCATTCGCCTCTCAATCGTCGGACTGCCAAATGTAATGCAAGGAAAAATCCTGTGGGGCTAGCAAACTGCAAGCAATCTGAAGCGGGTCCTCCCAGAAGCCCTTGAATGGGCATGTCTTTTTTGGAGGTACTGCAAGCCTGTTGAGTTGCTTCGGAGGAAAGCTAAAGAACAACTTGATTTATCTTCCCAATGTAAATGCTTGTTATGTCACACCATCCGATCACATCTATACCGTTTGATGACAGATCTCAAGACAAAGCATAATTTATAACTATACTCAGGTATGTGGCAAAGGTCTGCTGGCATCCCAAGTGGCAGCCGCCCAGAAACAAAATGAAACAGGACCAACCAACGGCCAATGTCAAATCGCACCTTTTCAGACAAATGTACTTTGGTCGTCCATGCGCGGTTTTGAAGGCACTCGCCTCGTCACTGTCCTCATCGTCATCACCATCTTCCTTCCAGGAAAGCTTCCTTGGATCAGGCGACAGAAACAAGGAAAGGTCCGAGCAACAGAAACAGCAGCGCATTCAATTGGGAGGGTGATCTGTGCCATTCAAAGATCTGCAACATGCATCATGGCTGGCACATGTTAGCATGCTACCTGGTCACCCAGGGCTGATTTGGTGCCGAGGGTAGGCCTTGCGATTCCAAGCATGAGGCACCAAGCTGATGGTACACCGAGCGCCACGCCAGCATGGGACATCCTGATCATCGTCGCTGCCCCGGTACAGCAAGACCTGTCCACTTCACCCTCCCTGTTTACTCACCTGGCACCCAAGCTTGTGTGAGATTGTGCGAGCCTCGCGAAAAATCGCTGGTTGGTATAGAGGGCAAATCCGAAACTTTGCAGTCCAGACTCAAAAGTTGACACAACGGTGACTCTTTTCAAGAAAAAAAACACGGGATTGCGAATACACATCGTTGCCGCAGTCTGACAGCAAAGATAATGCTGGGACAAAGATGCTTACTTTCTTAAGCTAACATGAACTGGGTGGATAGACTGCCTCTTGAGACCCTTGAAAACAAGGTAATTACATCATTATCTAATAACCCTGTTCACATCCTCCAAACAAGTCAGACATAAGTACAATACGTCTACGAGTTGTGCTGAAGAAGCTCTCAAACCAAAGCTGTTCCACTGGATCCTCGAATTGTGCTCATGTCTTCTTTCGAGAGGAGGCCTTTACAAAGTCACCGCAGCCGAGAGTTGAGCAAAGAACAGCGGGTGCACCTTCAAAATGATTCAATACACTCAGTCAGAAAGGCATAGTGGTTGAGATATTGTTTCCCCACAAGAAGGAATCTAGGACAGCTGTGTTGCGATAAAGCGCATGCCACACTGAGAGCCTGATAACATGTACAACTGTTGACTTATATATCTACATAATTCTACGTACATAGATATAGACTTTCTCTAAAGATCTCCAGAGGCCAAAACGAAGCTAGCAAAGCACACATCTTGGATGGGACTACATGCAGCTGAGCCATGATGTGGGCGGGAAACAAACACAGGACGTAGAAACCGGCCCGCGTGAAACGTCGACCATGCGTTGCTGCGGTGCCTGGTTGCTGTTCAGGAACTTGGGCGCGCCCCGGAAGGTTCCGGCCACCTCAGACGACAGAACGTGCCGAAAATACCGAAGGATTTTGGTCGACCCGGCCTCCTCAGAGCTCCCTTCTTTTGCCCCTTAAAACATCACCCCTCACCAAGGCACACTCACCTTTCATGGGCCAAAAAAGGTGATGCTTAAAATAATAGGGATCCCTTCTCCACGTACATTGGAAAGCGCGGTCCAAACAACTGCAACTCAAGTCATACAATATATTCTGCCGCAAGCTGGCCGGAAGCCAAAACATATTGCTTTGATGCCAGTGAATCACCGCACCAAGGTTGCCAGGATTTCCGAATAGCGGCCGCATTGGCGCCAAGTCTCTGTGAGTTGCTCACTCACTAATGGTGACTGGCCACACTGCAGAACAACCCCGCGAGACAAGTGCTCCCATTCAAGACAGCTCAGCAAGGGATCCAGGCAGAGCCTGGACTTCTAGTTTTGAACCCTCTCAACCCAAATCAATATCTGCAAGGATCTGCACGGGATGGCCAAAGTCAGTGACACTCCCTCGCGCTTTCCTGATTTGTGCCCAGCTGAAGCTGAAATCAGCTCAGGACATTCGGGACATTTCAGGCAAGCCGCACATGTTCATGATGCTTGCTTGACACGGAGAACATTCACAAGACAACAAATGCTGGATGAGATGCGCGTCTGGATGCCAAGCTTGCATCACACAGTTTGCCAGTCGAGCCTCAGAGCTCGATGCTCCCCTGGCGGCACTGACCAAACATCGCAAGGAAAACAGTCCGCGATGGAGACAAACAGGGCTTCACGGCAAGCGGCAAAAGTGAATCATGCAAGTGTGCCATGATGTACGTATGTTGGACGATTAAATGGTGTTCCTTCAGGCACCAAGACTCTGTCAACAGGGGGATGGCAAGCTACACTAGCTGCTTGCACGTGGATTTCCAAAAACCAACACCCCTGTCCTTGGGAATGGCATCGAACTGCTTGGGAACATCCTCGGCTGAGGAAATGCAAGGCACCCGCGCGCAACCCCATATTAATCAACCCCAGTGTATCATTAGGGGGAGGTGTTTCCCTCCAAATGTAGAAAAAACACCCTACTAATAAACAGGGGTTGATGAATTTAGGGTAAACATTAATCTGCAGACTCTTTTTCCAGACTCGATTGCCCTTCTTTTCGACAAATCGTGTGCCACTTTCGTGTACCACTTCGGGTACCACTTCCAGCGTTGTTTCACTTCGTGTTCCACTTCCTTCACATGCATTCAATCACAAAGGCACGTGCTGCCGAGAATCAGTGAATTCAACGAACATGTGTCCGTACGTTTTCACCTGGGCGGCATGGCGGTTCGACAGCTGCGCGGCTCATGAATAACCAGCAAACACGTGCAAATCATGGCGTGCACGCTAGTGGCAAGAGGACAAACTAAGAACTCCTGAGCAAGTCACCATGCACAAGCGCAGGGCGAGCCATACCAGGCAATGCTTCTTGAATGAGTAAGCAATGCATGACTTAAAATCGGTGACCCACGTACGCCCCAAACCATGAAGGAGAGGCGGACGCGGAGCCATAAAGCCATGGCAGCGCGGGACCACAAAGCTATGGAACCGCGGAACCACGGAGCCAGTTTGCTTACCTTGAGGATGTGGAAAAAAGCACCTTTGCCTAAAGTCCCTCCACAGCGTTTATTTCCTTAAGAATGCTCACAATCCTTCCTCGTCCCATTCTTCCCGTCCATTCGCATCCGGACGCGTGCCAGAGAAAACATGGACATGGTATGAGATTCTGGGAGTTAGGTGGCAGGAAGGAACCGTCCCTTCGCTCTTCTCTCGCTCACCCACCTCCATCATCTCTTCTCTCCCAACCACACTCTCGCACACAGGAAAGCGAGGCAATGATTGGGTAGGATGGAAAGGTAAGGACAAGAAAACTCCGCCAGTGGGTGAGTCGGCACCTTTTGATGTTCCGCAGGTGCTTCAAGTTCCAGTTTTAGGGTTTAGGGTTTTAGGCATTTGCACAGAAAACAAAGCGGATCACGTCGGATTCGTTAAACAATGGGGGAATCCAAAAGGGAATGTTGCGCGAGCCCGCACAGTCAAAATGAGCGAGATGCGCGTCGGCACAACGATCTAGACACCAATGCCTTACTATGACCGCTAGAGCCCCATAGCGTATTCACACATACACACAAAAAAAACAAACAGGGACGGGATCCTTTCGAGAGGATTCCTGCAAAACCCTTCTAGAAGCTTCCTGGTTGGATGGGAACGTAGATGCCCAGATCATGCTGACGTCCTTGAACCGCAGGGCTGCATGTTGGCTCACCGCCCGACCCGACAGAGCTCTTGGGGCGTTGCAAGGTCGAAGTACAGCTCTGCCTGCCATACCGGCAAGCGGCTGGTAGGGGCAGCTTCAAGGAAAAGACATAGTTTCCTGTCGATGAGGGCTCCTTAGCTACAGGCCCACTCACGACCGGAACCGCCTGAGGAGCCTCCGAGTTGGCGTCTCCGAAAGCCAGAGTCGGCTCCTTTTTGGGCTATGGCAAGCTAAAGAAGAAGCCAAGATACACAAACGAATTCTTTTGCCGTGGCAAGCATGCATTCAAGTGAACTCTTCACACGCATGTTGCGGGCGCGCTGACATCTGGTTCAATTGAGGCCTAATGTGAGCGTGTGGATAAGAATGCAAACCCTAGAACTACGGTGACGTCGGAAACGCCGGTTGAAGCGGCCGATCTCGTGTTACCGCACTGGGTATGTCCTGGGCTTCGAGCTGCAAAACAAATTTTCAGTTCGCCAGCCTACAATCAAACATTCCCCGGACCAAGGGCCTTCACCACTGGACCTCTCTCCGCCCCTCTCAGCTCTTGTTGGACTGGACCGGCGAGTCCTTTCCCAGCTCCGGGTTCCCATGAACTCCGCGCAGCTCGGTTCTCGATTCTTCGCGCGGCCTCCTTGCCGCCCCATTCGGAGAGATCGTCGTGGGCGTCGCTCTGCTTCGAGGAGTTGTAGGCCCTGTAGAAGTTCTCAAGGTACTCACCTGCAGCCCAAAGTAGGCTCCTTGACCACTCTAACGGTATGGTAGCAGAAAATGGAATGACTTTTTGCAGCCCCCTTCTGGCAACGAGCAGAACCAAACAAAACAAAAAAAACACTTGCCAAGAGCTGTTTCGGCTGGCGGCCCTATTAAACAAAATAGTTTGATTCCACATGCTATTTCAGTCTATGGTACTCATGATGGTCATGTTGATCTCTCTCAAAGGAGTTACCTGTCACAATACGGCGCTCACGCTGCTGGAAGCCAATCACCAGCCTCTTGGCTAGTGCTGCTCTGATCCAAGTGATAGCGAAGGCTCTGGGCGCATCTCCAATGTTGTCCCTCAAGCTGCTTGAAAACTGCATGCATTCCGGGTCTGTAGCTGGATGCGCCCAAACGGAAATGGCCAAACTGGTTGTTTCCAGGTGTTCATGTTGATACTGGATTGTCGCCCCATCCCAACAATTCCAGAAGCGAGACAATAATGACAATATGGTGAGTCGCTAGAGCTTCAGAGGAAACTCCTGGCGAACATACTTTCTCTAGGTGTCCAGCGATGTCTCTCCTTTGCCTGTGTAGCGTAGACGGCAACTTGTAAGCAAGCAGTAGTGAATCAAATGTGGATCCAAATAGATGCCACTGACAGGGTACCTCTCAAAAAGCAAAGAAAAGCTGGTCTCGCATGCTGACAAGGCTAGCTGCACTTCCAGCACACTTGTCCAGTGCAAATTGAAACCGATGCCGAAACAAGGGCCAGTTCAACAAAGCAGTATCTGCAGGCCATGCTAGGCTTTTGAAGTGTTGCTTGCTTCCCTCTCATAAGTCGGGGCAAACATCACAGCTGCAACATCTTTGATCCGGGAAAACTCGAAGAAACTGCCCGTTCTGTGGTTGCCGCACGCCCAGGCCTCCATGAATTGGGCATGGCTCGGCGAAAACACCGCGGCGCCTCTGCTTTGGGAGCGCACTCGCAGGAGTCCTTCTGAGAGGCTTGGTGAAAGCCTGGGAGTCGAGGAGTCGAGGCCCACAGAAAGGGAGGCGCCTTTGCGCAATTCGGGACTTGAGATTCCTCCGCAGATACTCGAAGCCAGACAGAAAAAACCAAAGCACCTCTGTTTGGAGGAAACCCCTTTTGGGAATCGGAGCCCCTTTGGGTTCTGACTTCATGTAGCTCACCGACACCCAAAACCGTTTTGAACGGCTCCCCAACCGAAAGGCCATCGGCATATTGACTTGCCGATGGGAAACAATACAAAACCCTGCCTGCCAAGTTGTGTACCTTCAATTGGGGGGTCAGCGACTCTATAAACCTCCCATGAATCCCTATGTCGTATCAAGTTGCTTACGCGCGATCTTGCGCTTCCCCTCAAGAATTGCTTACGCGAGCTCCTCTTCTCATGCAGACGCCAGAGCTGATGACGAAGAACTACCCTCACGAGTCTCAGCGGCTTGGCATTGTTGTTATTGCTGCAAGTCAAGAAACAGGTTATGCGGCAGCGGCATCCATCGCGAGGGCTAGCGGGCAGCCCAGCTAGGCGAGCTTACGCGGACCTTACGCGCCTGCTTACGCGAGCTTACGCGCCCGAGCCCCTTTAGTTTTCCTAGATCAGCGGTTTCAGAAGCCTTTGTTTGTCCTAGTCAAGGTTGCAACAGCACCTAGCATGAGCCCCAAGAGCTCCCAATCAAGGTTCTGCTGGTTTTGTTTTCTTATTGATGTGCACAAGCGGTCTTAGACGACTTCCTGCAGCCAAAATCTCCGGGCAAGCTGTTAAGCCCGACTAGGTTGCAACAGCACAAGCCACCAATAATCTCATAAGCACAGCTCTTCCGAGCATGCTTACAAAGCTTACCAAGCAATCACGAAGAAGAGCTTAAAGACTTACGCAGGTGCTTACGCAGCTTGTTTCCCCAAAAAGTGCTTACGCCGGCTTACGCCTTGCAGGGTTTTGCTTACGCGGCGCCTTGCTATGACACAACTCTTGCTTGGGATGTAACGGGGGGTTTTTAGAGCTGCTCAAATGAGATTTCGATAGTTGGTTCCCCCTTAAACCCCAAGAGACAGGTTCAAACCATCTTGGATAGGATAGCTGTGCATCCAAACGGTACACTCGCCATGTAGCTTTTGGAGGCCTGAGGAGAGGCACGCGACGCGCATTGCTTGTGAGACGCATACACGTGGCTCCTTTTCAGCCCGCTGACATCCAAGTTCGAAGGTCTGTCTTTTTTCCTCTTCGTCACTGCAAAAGTCCCACCGTCCAAAAATAAGCTTACCAAAAACATGACATTTTTTAAACAAGGCAAGCACACCTTTTATGCGCTGCAGCAGCAGGACATCACAAACAGATCCCCTTGTCTTCATGTCCTGCCTTTCCCAAACGCCTTGGTCATCGAAGAGAATGATGTAGCCTCATGGCAAGGCTCTCGCACACAAGTGTAGCTCTAAATGGTTCCTCGCTTGCAACCCTCCCCCCGCCCCCCCGATACCTTTGCTGGGCCCTTTGGGACATCGGATTTTAATATATCTTGCTACCATTGGCCGACACCACTTGGACGGGTTGCACCCAAAGGAGCTCGTTAGGCAAATGAGTCCCGCGTGACGCGCAGGGTAGCGGTCAAAGGCTCTGGAAACAAGAATCTCCCGAACAACTAACGCTAAACCATGTCAAATTAGTCGATGAGACTTGGGGCATCTAAGAATGTTTTTCGTGACCACGCGAGAATTTGTTCTGTGCAATCGTCACCATGCGACCACCACTAGCACCACCAGATCAACAATGTGCTATGACTATCTGCGATCTGAGGATCGGAGACTGTTCATTTGAGCAAGCGCTTTACATGATGGCTACTATCAAGTGCCCTACTCTTTTGCAGGCAGATCTTGCTCCAACAGCCTTTTGCCACCGATCAGTTCAATGAGGGGTTCCCCATGCGGCAACGGATGTAAATTTTCTGGCAGCGCAACAAACATGATGGGCCTCTAAACATTAGGCCAACAAGTCAAACACAATGGCAAACATGCCTCACACTTTCAAGTGTATGATGTCAAAAGCCTTTTTTGGGAACATACTGGCTACACGCCATGTTGGACTGTTAGAACAAGAGTCCACCCCCACATGTCTTGAACCCTGCTGCACTAGACTGAAGTGCATGCTTTGCTCAACCCATTGAATGCCGGGAATTTCATTGCTTTACAAGCTGAATGTCATGCTGGGCTGCTGCAGCCTGAGGGTGTAACCACCTGTTTTGAACAAGTTGCACATGAGAGCCTGGACATCCTTGTGCATACAGTTGGAAAACAGAAGTGTATGGTATGGATGCTGTTGCCAAGGACAAAGTGCCCGTCACGGATCCTTTAGTTTCCTCCAATTTCCCCTTCAAAAACTCTCCACAGGGCGAGAGATACCCTGAATACAATGCGGCCTGCTGCGTGCACTCTTCTCGCTCGGACGGCGACTTCTGCTCACAGACCTTGGGCCCCATGAAAAGATCTGAGTGTTTTCATTTTTTCCTCGGTGGCAGAAGTAGTTCTAAATGGTTGGGCTAGTCGACGGGAGGCCCGGAAGCATCGAGACATTTCACTGCGACTATGTAGCGACACTGCGGTGCAACGGACTTATGCTAGGCAAGTCAGGCCAAACTTCAAACAAGTTGTGTAAAGCTTCTGGAACTTCAAAACATTGCCTGCTCTGTATGCTTCGCGCAGGGCTGCTCTGTGTCATGCTTGCGTGTCCCTGAGACTTGCTGCAGTGTCGTGCCGCGTCGCCGTGCCCGATGCGCTTTCACAGTAGCCTGGGCCGAGTGGGTTAGCACCAGGCGGACCAGGGCGCTTCTGAAGCAACAAGTTCATCGCGGCGTCAGCAGACAAAAGAATAGGCAACAATCTTCCACCAGCGCGGCAGCGCTACGATGGATTCCGCCAACGCAATGAAAGGGTTTCTCTGTTTTGGTTAACGTGGTGGCTGACTAAGCTCCACGGCTGTGGCGCACTCCAGGGCACGCTGCTCCTTCCCCTGGCACTCCTTCTGGGGCATCTTGACTGCCAAGTCATCTAAATGATCTTGCGAGTGATCGCCCCCGCTCGGCACCTTGTGCGTTCATCTCGTTGCCGTAGATGCGTGGATGTTGTCGAGCGAGAACTCCGACTTGATTGGCGACAAGCAGTCTCGCGATGGATCACGCGCGTCCAGCGGCCAGTCCTGTGTGGGCTTGAAGGAGCTGCTGCGCTCCCACACTCGGAAATCCAGCGCTGAATCTCCGCAAAGGGCCGACCGAGAACAGAAACAAATTCGCGTGGCGCCACAGCTTCGACGCCCGCGATCGCCGCAGAGGAATCACCGAGACTACGACACATTCGCGCGGCGCCACAGCGAGAGCGCTTCGATACACACACACACACACGCACGCACGCACGCACGCACGCACGCACGCACGCACACAGACACACAGACACACAGACACACACAGACACACAGACACACAATCACACAGACACACAGACACACAAACACACAGACTCACAGACACACAGACACACAGACACACAGACACACAGACACACAGACACACAGACACACAGACACACGGACACACGGACACACAGACACACGGACACACGGACACACGGACACACGGACACACGGACACACGGACACACAGACAAACAGACACACGGACACACAGACACAGACACACACACACACACGCACAGAGACACACAGACACACAGCCACCCAGCCACACAGACACACAGACACACAGACACACACACACAGAGACACAGACACACACACACACACACACAGAGACACACAGACATACAGACACACAGACACACAGACACACAGACACACAGACAGACAGACAGACACGCGGACACACACAGACAGACACAGACACACAGACAGACACAGACAGACACAGACAGACACAGACAGACACAGACAGACACAGACAGACACAGACAGATACAGACAGACACAGACAGACAGACACACAGACACACAGACACACAGACACACAGACACACAGACACACAGACACACAGACACACAGACACACACAATCCCCGCAGAGAGTTTGTTTCGATAGCCGCCACAGCAATTAAGAATAACAAGACAAAGGTTGGAAGAAAGGTTACGTAACATTTGATGTTTGTGTATGTAGGATGACGATGTAAGCTAAGATAGCTAGCGTGTGATTTTGGGATAGTCGCGGAACGCCCGACAAATGTCTGGCAATTTGCTGCTTGTGTATTTAGGATGCTGATGTTAGCTTGTGATCTTAAAGAAGTGAAGTAACACGCGAAGAATTGGCAGGAGAAGCTTGCAGCCGTTTTCAGCAGAAGACCCCTTTGCATGCTTGAGGGAAGCAACTTATTACTTTGGATCATGTTGGGCAACATGTTCAAAATGTGTAAACTGAGGGTGTAGGACGCAAACCCTTCGATTTAAGAAATGAAACATATGCGTGCGAAATGCAGGGGCATAAACCAACACGAAACATATGTCTTTTCAAACACTTTGCATAGTCCTGCCTGGTTGTTGCTAAAGCCTGCAACGCAAGTTGCTGCATAGAGCACCCTGCAGCAACACGCAAAAAGCACAGCCTGCGAGCATTGGTAATACTTCGGCGGAAGACGTGGTTTGTGGTCACACGATCATAGCAGCCACTCATACTGAAGGGCAACAAACTGACAGGAAATGCCATTTTCACTTTTCAAAATATATGGGTCGCACATTCACGATAAAAGCACACCGCACATGGTGATACTGCTGGGGTACCAGTTTTTCGTCCGTTCAACCCAAATCTGAATGCCCAAACTTGCGAGCCCGAGAACGCACCAGTCATAGTCAAAACCATGAAAGAGATCGACCCAAGCCATGTAAAGAAAGGGGAAAAGGGCCATATTATACACCTGGTACCGTCTCTATGAACAACTGGCATCATCCCTATGAACTGCCTGGGACCGTCCCCTTAAGCAAACGTCAACAGCTCCTTCGGTTTCCATGGCAGCTCACATTTTAAACTTGTCGTTGGGCATATAGGGCACCATTGTCCGACTGAGGCGTAACGGACCAATTTGCAAGTCTAGGCCGCTGGGCCTCGTTCATGCATCGCGAAAACTGGTCCTGCATCGTAGCGTGGCGAGTCGTTGACATACTCAACCCATCCAAGTTATATATGTCCAGAAACAAACAACGAAAACACGTATGAATCCTTTGGCATGCAAAACCTTGTGTGTTTCGAACAAAAGGCAATGTTCTCGAAGATCCAAGGCTTGAATGTTGAAAGGCTGAGTTACCATTCAGCAATAGATCATCATGGCTTGCGAAGCCGAACATGAATCCGGGGAAGCCCGTCGCATGGGCAAGTCTCCTCGCAGAACTTGTGTGAAGTTCCACAAACGGAGAAACACACGTCATGGCCTCAGCTAGGCCATTGGAAGTGCCACGTGCACGGCCCGGAAAGCAAAAGTCGGTGTGACTCACGCGGCCGAGAAGCGGTGCTGCTGTCAGGAACGAGGCATCAACCGTTCGCTTGATCTAAGGTAGCGGCTGTTGCAGCAGCGATACAGGCCATATGGCTCCTGTCATAAAGTGCTATAGCGGAGAAGTAAGGTGCCACAAGGTATCTCAGGCTTGCATGGACCTTTCAGGGCATCTTGATGAGGAGCTTGCGAACACTAAAGTGTAGTTCATGTTTTGCATGCGGCTTCAAGCAGAGCCATGACCAGGTTTGGCATACAATCAATATCGGATGGGACGGCACGCAAATAAGTAAGAAGTTGTTTAAAAAGGTCTCACTAACATGGCACCTGGCCAGGGTGTTTGGTTGGGGGCCCCATGTCAGGTGCCATGTTAGTGGAGTGAAGGTAAATACATGGACACAGCACAGGTCGCAGTGGACGGCAATGTCAGGGATCTGGACACCCGCCTACCATTTGTGTCGCCTCCCCGATGCCCCAAACGCAACGCGCGTGAGCAAGCTGAGAAACCAGCTGGAAAAGCTGAGAAATCCGTTTCGAGTCAGCACCTCCCCGTCCAGCCATTCACCGAGCCGAGTCGATTGACCTAGCGCACGGCCTTGATCACGAGGCCTTGGGGGCCACAGCCATTCGCCATCATCCGCTCGTGATGGTCCTCGCAAGGCAGTTCTGCAAAGAAATCGCCAGCGCCTCTGCTCCATGCACATCCAGTTTGTGCTGGCAAAGGATCAAAACTGTGCATCCGTGTCAAAACTAATTCGGGCTCCCTTTTTGGTGACTCCCAAAAGAAGCTCCAAGAAGAACGTTTACAAAACCAACCCTTTCGGGAGCAGTTCGTGCTCGCGGGCATCCCAAGGACCGTCATCCCTGCCATTCCCAGCCCAAGGTCCAGCTTTGGGACGGGGATCTTTCCAGTCGGGCACAAACGATCGGAGCCTGGCCGGCGCCGCGTGTTTTGTTGTTTTTCTTCTTCGGGGGCGGCCCCTCAGACGCCATCGATGCACAGATATGCACAGGAACAAGTAGTACAGAAAATGGCAAACAAGAACGCAAGCCAATAAACAAACAAACACACAAACAAACAAACAAACAAACAAACAAACAAGCAAGCAAGCGAGCAAGCAAGCAAGAAAGCAAGCAAGCAAAAAGGTAAACAATGAAGAACAAAGGCCAGCATTAATGAGCAAATGAGATGATCATGAAAAGAAACAAACCGCGCCAAGCCAAATGAACAAGAAACGAACACTTGATATTGCACGCACACCGGTGCCGAAGAGTCACCGGAAGGGAAGCGCCCAACATGGGCAAGCCCAAAATCCAACGATCAAAGGGCTCTGTATGAGTAAATGTGCGTAATGATTCAATGCCAAACATCGCAATGGGCCACAAATCCGGCCTGAAGCTCACGCGCCTGCCCTGGCATAGTAATATGAATATATTATTATATGCTCACGAATGACACAGCTTAGAAACTATAGCCACCAAACTGACGAAATGATTGTTTTCTTTTCCTGTGAGCCTCCATCCATCTGTGCGTGTCACCCTCTGAATCAAGCATGCGCTCCCCATCTTTTTCCTGCCAAACCCATGGATTGCAACACGGAATCCGGAAACCACCGGAAACCACTGGATCTCGTCATGTTCTCGCCTCCTTTGCCACCCTTGGACATGCCACCGAGACCTTCCAGCGAGGCATGGCTGACCAGCCCAAAGTAAGGAATCCCTAAGAGAAACTTGAAGGGTGAGGGATTCTTTCTTTTGTAAATTGGCCTCATCCATTTTGGTTGAGCAAGGGTGAGCTTGATTTTGGTGAGCCTCATCCATGCGGTTGACCATCCAAGGGTGCGCTTGTTGAACTTCCTTTCAAACCATTGCTCCCAAAAGCGGGAACTCTGAATAGACGGCGCTCACACTTGACGCAGCAAAAAACCGTTCGGAATGTGTCTCCAATCTCAACCACGGAGCTCTGGACAGGGCATTTCAACATGAACGAACGGATGTCCTTTTTCTGATTGTACCCTTCAGTTGAAGGCTGCCTCAAAAGGAAACCAAAGTCAAACCAGCCGACCTTCCCACCTTCTCAGGCTTGGCTCGTTGAAAACAAACTGACATGTTTCGTCAAATCACTGGCTCAATGCCTCCCAGCAGTGCTTCCAGGTCGATATCCTGGGCTAGCGCCCCTGGCAGTGGCTGCGAATGTCAGCAATCGATGGCATGGAAGCTGGGGTTTCGCTTTTCGTGCGACTGGAATCGGCACGACTTACTCATATCCTTTTGGGGGTAAATGAACCACCCCTGGGTTTACGTCTACCCTGGCGTAGTCCAAAAGTGGAACCCTGATTGACAATGTTCTGGAGAATGCAAGCACAGAAACCATTTTCAGCAAGCCCGTCCCATCACTTTGCAAGTGATGCTGAACGGACCTGCCTCAATAGCAATTCCATCTGTAGAATCTCGTCTTCCGCTTTCTGTCGTTCTAATGATAGTCTCAACACGCAAATGAAATTGTCCAATTCTGAGCCAATGCTAACATGGCGATTTTCCCCTCCGACCCCAATACCAATCGTCGTATTCGTGGACCCTTTAGAACAACTACTGAACCAATATTAGCCAAAACAAAATCAACCCACATCCGAACAATGAAACTGAATTACTCTGTTCGCCAAACATTTTTAGCATGCTGAAAACCGAACTCGATCCCCTTTGCTATTTTTCGAGCGGAGGAATGCACGATTAGTTTCTCCGAGCCAATCATATCTGGCCTCGCTGGGAACCAAAAAGGAAACCGCCCCCTTCACGGAAATGGCACACACCACAATCAAACAGATCTTCCAAAGGACAGCACTCAGCACCTCTCCATGCTTAAACACCTAAACGGTACTCAGCTGCCCTTCAGCCCCCCCTGCCTTGAAGGCAAAGCCATGCCAGTCTCAACATGGCGCCTCTCTGTTTTACTCCAAAATGGGCTTGGGCTCGCATGGCGTTTTAGCTGGGGGGGTGAAGCGGCTGCGGCGCTGGAGCTGGGTGAAGCGCGCTCTGCCAAACAAATCTCTGCGCCTGGCTTGCCGCTGCACAATGAAGCTGCAAATGCTGCGAATCGAGTCACCGCCATCTCCGCAACGCAGAATCACAGGCGCTAGCAGTTTTGGCAAGCAAGCAATCAGTATCAATCAGTCAAGGCGCGCTTGCTTGCGCGCCTTTCTATGCAGAATCAAAATCAAAACAAGATTTCCTCTCTCCAAATCCGAGACGAAAACACGTGGATTGTAAACAACACACATTTGGCCATGGGTCAAAACCCCGTACCCCCACTGAACATCCCAATCCTCACTATAGGTTCTAAAATGGGTGATGCACCTAGCCCAAAATGGAATCCCAAAACGGCTTTGACAACCACTGCCATTTCCTCTGATTCCGCGCGACCGAAAAAAAAAATAAATAAATAAAAAAATCCTTGACTTCCCGGGCCGTGTAGATCCCGTTGAGCAAGGACGCGCTGGCCGGCTCTGCATCCTCCGGCGCCGTCACCTCTCGGCTCCGAAACTTTTTTCGGCTTCATGGAAAACGAGTGGCCTGAGGACCTCAGGCTGGGAGACCAGGGGCTCTTTTTGGAGGCGGGGTTCTATCGGAACCTGCATGAAGCTCAGCTGTGTGTCTGAAAACAAGAGACTCTTTTGGAGGGGGAAATATTTTGGACCCGTACAAAAGACTTTCCTCGACCGCAAAGGATCATTCCTGCACGTAGTTCTGTGCAAACCACCTGCTTCCCATTCAAAAAACCTCCTGAAAGCCTGAAAGCTTCAATCTTCGTGAGGAACTCAACGGCATCGCATTGGATAATTTTTCCTTCATTTTGACATCTCAACTTGGATCCTTTCGTAAACCCATGCCCAGGGGGCCAGCTGCATGTCACCACCGCTCAAAGACTTGGGATCCTCCTTTGGCTCCCTCTCAAACTGGCCTCGTTCCAATCGGAGCTCATACTTCCAATTTGAACCTCACCCCCAACAAACGGAAACTCACTTCTTCAATTGATGTCGAAGTGCCTCTTCCCTGAGCAACAGGTCCAGCATCTTCTGCTACGGAAAAGCCCAACTTCTTTCTCAAAGGTCCTGACGCCTGGGGTCACACCGGTCAGACCGGCCATGTAGGCGCCGGCCTGGAAGTTGGGATTTCCACCCAGGCCGTCCCAGTCTGCCTCATCCACCTGGCGGTAGGAACTCGTGCGCCCGCTGATCCACATGGCTGTGGGTTAAATCCACAGCCAAACCCCTGGTGAACGTGAAAATCGGGGGTACATGGGTGTTCCGCCCCAAAATGGAGGCATAGGCTATGACCCATGGCCACATTGAAAATCCAGCAGCGAGCTACCAAGATGGCCCAGCGCACCGCTCTGTGGGTACTAGCAACCGTGCAGCTTGTCATATTCAACTGATGACAACGGATCTTCGCTTTGTCCGAGTTCGTGCAGCATCGCTGCTCTTTTGAAGAGAAATGCCAAACATGATGCCCAGTGCTGTGCAAGCAAATAGGTATTGGGGGTGACCTTTGAAAACCCCAAAAGGTTATTACACTTCTGAGAATCATGGTAACATCCTGACCACATCACTGTGGCCATATTCGGTCATCATGGTCATCCAAACCATCTTAACCTACTTGGCCGAACAGCAGTTTTACCATGCATACCCATGGATGATGAATTTAGCCAAGACATCACAAGTGTCTCGTTAGATGCATAGTCACCATGCGCAGCACACTGAGAACCAAGTGCACTCATGCGGCAATGCATGTTGCTGCACACATGTACACCTTTCAAATGAGCTCAAGATAGCAGTGGCAGTGGCAAATGCAATGTGATAAAGGTACATCAACTCTGGTCTCACCGTTGACGACAAGAACAACGACTCCAACCTTCTTGACGTAATTGCAAGGCTGAGCGCGACATATATATATATATATAGATATATAGCGTTCCCTTACACAACTTGTCGGAAACACAAAGCAAGACGCACTGCTAGCTGCTCTCAATCCAGGCAGCGCACCTGACCCGTGTAAAGCAATCGCAGGAAGAAGAGCAAGTCTGCCCGCGTCCTCAATGGACCCGTGAGAAAAAAAGAAGAAGGAACATATCAAATATGGGCCTTGAACGCTGACATATATTTGGTCAACCGCCCCTGCTGCCAGCGCTTGAACACGATCCTCAATCAATGCGTCGCTTGAATAGCGCCCGTTTACCTGTTGTTGCCTTGCAATGTTCGTTCTGGCTGGACAAATGATTTCCTGTATAGTATAGGCTTGCTTTGACAGTGGCACACAGCATGTTGCAACCGGACAAGTGCGATTGGTTGCTCCCGGCGAAGGCGTGCTTCTCGCTTTGAGCAAACCACTTACCATCAATTCGCAAACATCTACGCAGGAATGGATGCACTCTGCCTTGAACGCCAAGGCACACATCAGAGAGATCGATGGTCTTCGTTCGACCTGCGCATCCAACAAAAAACCGTTGAGTTTCAAATGGAATGGCTCAAACAAAGCGAGCTTGAGTTGCTTGCGCGGAGATGTCAAACATGACCGAGCCTCCTGTTCCAGCGGGAAGGACATCACATCATCACAGTAAACTTCAGACTTCAGGGGGCGAACTTCGCCTTGAGCAAGGTTTAGCCCCCCAAGACAGATTCCAGTATGGTCCGCAAAACAAAGCTGAGGTCTCAGGGCAAAGGCAGCCAACAATCTGTTCAGGATGGGTTTTGCTGCTCCCTCCCCTAAAGCGCTGGTCTAGTTTAACAGGACGCCCAAAGCATGTGGCAAGCGTCAAAGCTCGATTTAGGCATGTTGGATGATTCAAGCTCCTCCGCAAAAGACATGCAGAGCCTTTCTATCCAAAACTGCTACCGTGGCTAGCGGGGTCTTTCGGGGTCTATGGACTATTTGCTTGCCCCTCCCGACTAACATAGTCTGCCCTTGCCTTGTGGTTTCCCTTTGAGCAAACCAAAAACTCGGGCCAACATCTGGACAAGTATTGAATGTTCCGCATCCCCTTGTGGTTTTTTGTTTTGGGTAAATGAACAACTCTGCGCCGTTGATCGCACGCTTGCACGCTCAAAAATCCCCGACCTTCGGACATCTCTGCTGTCAGCATCTGCCGGAAGGGCTTGGACACGGCCCGCAGCACCGAGGAGTGGGCGGTGGCTGCACCATCCTGACGAGTGAACCGACTTTTAGCAAATGGAGACATGGGGGCATTACCAGCGATAGTGGCTGATTTTTTTGTACCTATAAGATGTTTTTTTGTAGAAGTCATGTTTTACGGCCAGTTCGCTTGCCCCCGCATTGGAACCATCCGCAACCAAAGGATTCAAACTGCTTTCAGACAGACATATTTGTCTGGGATTGCAATCAACCTGGAACCTCAATCATGGGCAAAGGAAGGGTGCCATGATTCTTGCCAGACTCCATGACTCCACGCTGATAGAATGTGGTACTGCCTTGGATGGTTGCAAAGAGCGAGCAATCTGTGCCCCTCAATTGTGGATGACACGCCCATGGGTCGCGTTGAAGACTTTGCGCCTTTGGGGCGTGTAGACTTGCCTTTGGAGCTCATCTGGCCTTGTTCCAGGAGACCCTTGTCCCAAGTTGATCTGGCATGCAGCATGCAACATGCAAGCCAGGAAAATCCATGCAAGCTACTAGGAATCTTCGAAGGAAAACAAATGCGTCATGCGAATGTCTTACACCAGCTAACAATCAACCGCTAGCAAATCCATGCAAGTCCCCGAATAAAATGCATCAGGCAGGACTTGGGACCTGGGATCAAGCCAGGGGATGTATCTAAAGGGAGCCCTTTGAATCGGGGATCAACTACTATAGACTATACATATGACATACGTCTGTATATGTGTATATGTATATATGTTTATACGTTTATATACGTATGCAAGGGGTCCTTCAAATCAACATAAAGTTGACACTCATCAGTAGAACCGGGCACGTCCTTCGTCTGGAACTTCACGTCCTGCAAGCAGGTGGAGTGAACAACTGCCCATGGTTTTCCTCACCGAATCTCGTGATTGACTTCTTCCTTTGTGGGAATTCTCATCTGGGTCCTCCAGTAGAGAGGTTAGAATAAGGGTACCCATTTTTTTTCTGTAGTCTATTTTAGTAGGGGCTCCCCCGAAAAAGTGCAATAGGGCACTACTGGGGGACCTAGTTATCTTCCACAATCCACTTGAACAGGCCATTGTTCTTCCAGCTTAACCATGCTGCTTTCTGAAGCCCCACCGCAGTCCTTGCCCTCCTCGTCAGCAAAGAGCAACTGTCCAGGCGCATGTGGGTGTGGGTCAACATTAAACCACCAGGGGACCGCAGGTTTTGGTCCATGCTGCCACTTACCAGGGTTCCATCTTGGGTACCCATTTTGACCCACAGCCATGTGAAGCTAAAGGGCAATGGTGATCTTCGAGGGCAATGGCAAGATGGTGGGAGATGCCCAGCTTACGCCACTGTCATGCCGTTGCATGCCCGTGTCACACACACACACACACGCTGCAGGTCTTTTGGAAAGCTCTGGTGCAAGCGGATCAACAAATGCATCATGCAACCGCAGGAAAGCACGTTGATATGTATAATATATATATATATATGTGATAAGCAAAAGACTGACGAAGGGCAATGCCCTGACACGTCGTCATAACTCGCGAAGCACGGAAGCGCCTCCCCGAAGTTGAGATAGCTGGTCCTGACTTGTGAGTACCTCCGCAGGAGAATCAGTCGCATTTTTCTCAGCCAGCTGTTTTGTGGCCCTCAAAGATGGAAGAGGACAAAATTCATAAATTCCTGCAGGTGTTTTTTGGGAACGGATCACTGTATACTCCCTCAAACCAGAAGGAAGCTTCCAGC